GGCGCCCCGCCCCCACCCCCGCCGCAATGGACGCACAGTGGGAGGATGTTCATCCAATGTGGGCAAAGGTAATCGAACTTTTGAGATGGGGGCGGCGACGGAGTTTCGTTTTTTCTGGCGGAGACAGAGTTTAAAATAGGGGGAAAGGTCTGAATGGTGAAATGTTTGAAAGAACAACTGAGTGGTTTGTTGACTGGGAGAATAAATCAGGAAGAAAGGCTTTAGATGGGTAGTTAGGTAGATAGCAGGTTGGCAGTTGAGTGAGATGTTAGATGAGCGGTTAGGCGTAGTTGAATGGGCAGTTGAGTGGGCGAGCGGTGAACGTTGGACCATTAATGTCGATGGAGTGTTGGATGATCAGTTGGGTAGGTGACCCGTAGTAAAAATAGTTTGCGTCATTGTCAGACAAATCTAAGAGCATACATCCGAGGCAACTTCAAAAATTAAATAAATTTACTTTCATATATAAAGAGGTCTAGTTATTCTTAAATTTACTGACAAGACTCACACTTTCTGTCTCAGACTTATCGCCCGAAAAAGTTTGTTTTTTCGCAACTGCTCCCCCCTCTCACCACCACCACCAAAAAAACTTAGGTCTTACTTTAAACTCTTATTTATTCTAATCTACAATTGCGATCAGATACGAACATTTTTAATCCTTTGAAATATGGGGTATGTGTCTAGAATACTGATAAATTCTTCCTTGCAAGAAATATACATACCTCTGCACCTAAACAAACTTTTCAAGTACAATAACGAACGTAAAAAACATTAAAAATCTCATTCTAAGGAATTTTAAGCAAAATAGTGCTTCAATCTTTTGTCCATTTTATCGAGAATTTCTTTCCACTGTGCCTCAGCTACACTCGATTGCGTTCTTTGAAGAGATTGACATCCGCCAATGAGTGAAGAAACCAGGCCAGGCTCGAACAAAGGAACGAAATCAGGGGCAACAACAATTTTCTCGCAAGTTTATTTTACAATATACCATCATTATACCTTTCTACTGATTTTTTGCCCAAGCTCTTTCAAGTTTAATGTTTTTTTGCGTATAATTGGAAATAAGACCAAAAAACTAGTGCTGATGCGCCTCTAATTTTTTTATAATCTAAAAAAGTACACTTTTTCTAATACAAATTGTTCTAAGATACTATGTGGCATTCTACATTCAAAATTCAAACTGTTAGCGAGGATGCCTGGCGAAATTTTTATCCAAAGTACATCGAAACAATTATTATATTGCGGTAATGAAAAATCATGGTAGGTTATTTATTCGAGTCGAACAAACATATCTGAACAATTTCGAATACAAATTATACCGACTATCCTTTGATATACAATTAAGGGCATCGCTTGTTCCTAGAGAGTAGTGCTTGAGGATCTGATCAAAATTCTGTGTCACCATTACGTTTTACTTGTGAAATGTTAGTTATCACATGTTAAAATGTGATGATTTTTTATGACATCCTACTTCCAAATACGTTGCTTCATTGAAAGTAAATAAAATAAAATTAGAGTACATAGATAGCTATATCTACAATGTATGGTTAATCCATAGTCAGAAGTATTTCGAATAAAAAGAGTGTATGTGTAAAATAATGTAAATATTTGTTTGTACCTATGTTTTGTCAATAAAACAAAAAATTGATAAACATTTCTGTACTATATTTATTAAATTCCTTTCACGTCGAAATTTCTTAATATTTAAATTCTTTTAGAATGCGAGACATCTCAAAAACAGGTGGCATGTTAATATGAAAGCAGCTGTGCTGCGAGTATCAGTAGCGACAAATAATAACATTCTATCTGAATACTTCAATAAATCGAGAACTTTAATACTGTATTACATAGAAACTACACCTTTTTAGGAAATGCAATACGGAATATTCTGTAAAACAAGTAAAAGAATAAGATGTGTGTTAAATAATTTGGCATGCTAATTTATTATGGCAGTGCTATACATTACATACGATACTAATAAAATATGGAGCCACCAACGCTGTAAATTGTTTTAAAAATAGTTTCATGTGATTAAAATTTCTTTCTACTTCATTTCTTTAATGTCCAGTTTTGTTCAAATATCAATATCTGGCATTGGACTACCAATTAATCGTGGTGGCTGATAATGTTATACTTTCGTTCAAAAGTTCCCAACATCCAATGGCCTTGGCCAGTTACCTCCATAGGGGATATGAACTGGTCTTAAGCAATTACAAAATTATAATCGCCGTAACAAATACTTGCAGGTTTTGATGATACTAATAGTTTAATTTTGGTATATAATTTTTAATAAATAAATAATAAATTTAATAATAAGTAATAAATTTTGGTAAAGCTTTTTGGTTAATATGCACAAAAATACATACAGCACATTTGCATTAGCACAAATGCTAAATGCCTCGCAGATCTATTTAGAAGGATTTGGTTTAATTCCTGGCATTATAACTGAGATCGCAGCGCCAAAACTCTCACAAACACACACATTTTTGGATATTTCTCTGAATCTTCTGGCCTTATCCGAAAACCAATTATCAGTTCCCCATCAGCAGACAGACTCGTCGAATGACACCTCAAACGTCTCTATTGGTGCACGGAAAGTGGTCTAACTGCGAGTGACGGAACCGCACACCCGAACATACACCCGCACACTCAGTTTTACTCAAGTACTGTAAAGGGATGATTATCTTTTATTATCAAATCATTACATAATTATTCCTAAAATCGCTCAACTGCATTCATCAATCTCGTAAGATCCGAACAAAGTCGCAAATTACCCTTGCTTTATACCAAAACACGAGTCTTCGTCGGAGCCGTTCTTTTGCCTTCCATTTCATGTCTTCTCTCGCTAACTGAACTCAACCATTAAATAACACGACCCACAAGAAGTGGAGCAGAAATACAAAAGCATTCCCCGACAGAGCTTTTCACAATCAATGACAGATATATCTTGCGATACGCGTTTCGGCGGTTCAGAAGGGAAAAAAGGTTTTGGTGATTGATCGGTGACTCCGGCCGCGTCAACCTCAAAGCTCACTAGTCCCGTAAAAGTGGTGCATGGGAGGTGGCGGTGATCATAACCCGCTGGATGGCGAGATCCGGATCCGGTGCCGGTCGACTTGCAGGGTTTTCCCTTATCAGATATGTCACTCTAGCGGGGCACCGCCCCAATCGGGAAAAGCTCCAAGCTCTGGACAGGTCTCCCGACAAGTGAAGCAGTGTGGTGCGAGAAAATGTGTGTGTAAGCAAAGGGTAAGGATAGGACAAAGAAGAAGAAGGGATGATAGCATGCAGTCCATTTGGTAGCATACTTCTCCGGCATTCACCTGGTGCTGATCGGAGAAACCGC